TCCTTGCTCCTAGTAGCGATGCCAGGAGCCCCTAGTAGCTTCTTGTTCCACTAGAGCGTAAGTTATGATGACGTCATGTTTAATTGCACCAAATGCTGGCTATCCACAGTCTCCCTCGAAGGGGGTCATCCAAAACAATCTTGAACTTGTGCTTCTATAAATTGGTACCACACAGGGTGCCTAGGTTCCCCATTTTGTAGTGGTTTATTCCCATACTTAAATATATATATATATATGATATATGTATGTATGATTATATATGTATGTGCCAAACTGGACACCCCAGCTCTGTCCAAACCCTTTGAAATAGTATGTTACCCTGTGCAACCAACCATCTCACGCTGTTGCTCTGACCTGGTACGATGCTGAGTTCCATGCATCAGACAGTGGATCTTTCAGGGAGCTGTCTGACTCCTGCGCTTTCAAGTCATTCATCTTGAGGCCATTCATCACAACCCCACTTGGCAAACGAATAGATTTACAGTGATCCCCCACTTGGCCCTACAAGGAGCAACTTGAGTATCCCGTCGGCAAAGGCTCCATCCAAACGATCGGTTGCAATGTATGATCGGTTGCTGTTGTTACTAGTAGTAAGGCACTTGTTTCTAATAGCTTCTTGTTACTACTAGTAAGGCACCTGTTACTAGTATCGTGGCACTTGTTACTACTAGTCTCAAGATGGTTGTAGTCACCCTTCTTCCTTGTGACGAAGGTGTCTTTACTGGCTGACGAGATTTGTTTTCATAGGTCACTTCAGCAGAGGCCGCTGTAAAAATAAGGCCTGGTAGGTTAGGCCCTGCACTTTTCAATGCTCCCTGCATATCTGAGTGTTCCCTGCATTATTGTACGTAGTACAAACATATCAACATTTACACCTCCACTAGACAAAACTCATCTGGACATGCTTGAATTCTTACAGTAAAACTTACCTTTGGTCTTGCAGTATTTTGGGCCTGGGTCAAAACTCAGCAGCCTCCCGAACCAATTGGGTTTCATTTACTCTTCCTGATTGAATTCTCTGTCCTCAATGTCTGCCTCCAGCATGGCCGCTGCAGCCTGCCGCAAGAATATCCAAGACAGCCTGTTGTGTCAAATTTAGTTGTTGAATCCCTCTTCATGCTCACTCAATATATTACGTAGCGCAAAACATCTAGATGATTCACCACGTTTTAAAGGCTGTCAAGTTGGCTTCACAGCAGTCTCACCACCGGTCTGCTTTCAGGCTATATACTCTATTATAGCTTATTGTTTCTAATAGCAAACATTGTTACTACTAGTAAGGCACTTGTTACTAGAAGCGAGGCACTTGTTCCTAGTAGCGTGGCACTTGTTACTACTCTATTCATGCTGCTTACTTCCGGAACGCCCCACTTTTAGAGGCAGCTGTGAGAGTGTTGGATGAGCCATATGGGTGGGACATTGGGTTTCAGGCTGCACAACGGGCAACAGCCCTATCGAATTGGCAGGCAAGGGGGACAGTTTGGGTTCATTATATATATATATAAACCAATGTCCTCGTGGTCCCAGTCAATTATACAATCCTTTTGCAAGGAGGCACGCCACACCAATGGAAGATCACTCGAATTTTGATCCTGCATGATCGGAGAAACAAAAAGAGCAACATGCCAACTTTGTCGAGTGAAGCTTGTTGCTATTATCCTCCTGTGGGTGATCCTGATTGTTCAAAGGGAACAAACAAAACAGAATCGTTGGAATCTTGGAAATGGAGCCGCTACCCATGCTTCACACTCTTCAGTTGCACCTCGTCGTTGTGCGCGAGGACCAAGCACAAGGCCAACATCACCTGAAGGCTGGAAGTCTCGGGTGTCACTGAATCATTTGGCACAAGGTCTCCAACGAGATCGAACCCGAAAATGACCACCAAAACCATTTCTTCTTTCCAAGCACTTCCAGCACAAACCACTTGGAGCATCCCAGCATCCCCCAATTTGGTCTCCCTTCTCTTCAGTGGATTGGGTCGGTCGGTGTCTTGTGGCGCCTTGACCGTCTTTACCCCTTCTTGGTGCCGAAAACGTTTAAAAACCGTCAGCACTTGATCCTTGGAGGACGCTTTTTTCAGAAAAGCCACAACTCCATGGGGCGACACCGATTTTGTCCAAGCTGCTGAACGCTTGCCGTTGGTTCCCACCTCAGATGTGTGATGTGGACGGACATCGCTACTAGGAGCAATGGACGCTACTAGGGGCTCCTGGCCTTACTACTAGGAACAAGAAGGTATTAGAAACAATAATTAGTATTAGAATTTAAGCTAGAATTAGGATTTATATAATTAGAATCTAATTCGAATTGGAACAAGAAGCTACATTGGTTCCCACCTCAGATGTGTGATTTGAGGTGGACCTGGTCCGAGCATTGGTGAATCTGATGCTGATGGTGGTGCTGGTGCTGTTCCGTTTGGCGCAGTTCCGGTTGGTGCTGGTGTTGGTGTTGGTGTTGTTGCTGCTGCTGCTGGCACTGGCCTTGCGTGATTGCGGACTTAGCTTGAAGCTAAGGGAATCCTTTTCCACATAGTACCCAAATAGAACTCGTCAAAAACACATCATCTCTTTCTTGAACAGGCATTGGCGGTGCTGTCCTTTCTCTGAGACTTGAACGGCCTTCACTTCCGGCCGGCTCTTCCTGAGATGAATGGCTTGGGAGCCAAACCGTTCCCGGGAGCCAATGTCCCCTGACCTGGTCATTCGACTCCGTCCAGCACCAAGCCTTGAAGAAAATTATAAACAAATGGATAGGACTGCTCAGGGTTGAACAGATTGTAAAACCATTTGAGGAAAAAAACACGTCTTCTTTCATTTCAATGTTCCACTTAGTCCTTTCTATATAATCTGTCTGTTTTTTGGAGGGAAAGCTTCTCACATCAATCTTGAATCCACTTGCGACTATAGCCCTGCGCTCCAAGTGAGCCAAACCACTACTAGAGTTTCCTGGTGCTTGCTGGTGTTTTGCTTCAAAGGCAAATTAACTTTAGTTATACTGTACAAGCAATGCCTGGGCCGCATCATGATCTGTCAAAACCCAACGGCCCTGGAAATGGATACTTCCTTGTGCCGAGAATAGGGACCCGTGGCAAATGCGAGCTCCAGGTGTAGCCCTCCGTTTCATGTGGTGCTTGTGGCATTGTGTGGCGGCTCAAGGTCGGGCCTACAGTGCGTGCAGCTCAAATGGCGTTAATAGTGACATGGCCTCCAACCTAATAGCAAAAGGAACCTAGTAGCGATGGCCTCCACCCTAGTAGTGATGGCCTCCAACCTACTAGGAGCTTTAATACTGACATGTCCCAAATGGCTTTGTCGAGCTTCAAGCGAGCAATGCTCACCTCATCTGCTGTCAACCGCAGATCCTTTTTGCATGCTGCCAAGACTTCTCTGTCCTGCAACGGAGGAAGACTAGGTGGAGGTGTCATGCCAAAATGTGTTTGGTGACGGAAAAAAATAGCCACCCAGTCCTGGCAATACTCGAAGAGCCCATCGGCTTTGGAGCAACTTCCAGTCGCAGCCTGGAAAGTTCATGCAGAACCATGCGTAAGCAATGAGAAGCAACATACCAAAAAAGCCAGAAGGCTCACAAGACACAGCCAGTACAACAAAGAGAAATATGAACAAACTGTGGGTCCCTTGACTTCCCTCGTCCCCCACAAGTCCTTGGACCTAGACATCCTTGACATGATTGCGGGTAGATTGTCGCCGCATGAACAAGTGCGGCTGAATGCTTGACCCCTTCGTCACAATGTTCACAAACATCACAAAACAAGTTATATAGGGTTGTGCTACTTCCATCCGACACTTGCAAAACCGCATCAGCCGTGAAACAACCGGAGCAAATCCAGCTGGCTGTGGAAAAATGAAGAACCAAAAGACCCTTGGCCTGGAGCAACCAGGATGCATTGCCGTGAAAGATGGAATGCTGTGCCAGGTCCACAACTGGCAAGCTCGTCAATGCGCGTGGGCGCGAAGAGGAGACGATGATGTCATGTGAGCTTATGTGTGTCTTTCGTGTGGGTAACAATCTCCAAGGTGTCCAAACAACTGGTGGCTCGTTCTCAAAGTTCCATCTTGGAGAGAACAACAAGCCAGCAGCAACATCGAGGAGTTTGTCTGAACCACACCAAGATTCATCGCTTCGTCACTTCTGAGTAGGTTTCGTATATATCGACAAATTTTCTTAGTTGCACCTTAGAGGGTCCAAGCGAGATGCCCAACACCATGCTGCAATGCTCGCTGGAATCTTTACATGTATTTACACACATGCCAGTGGACTACTCGCATCCACCATTCGCCTGGGATCCTGTCACAAATCACGTTCACCGTCACACCATGTCCTGCAGGGCGGTGAGTCAAGTGCCTAAAAGGTCTCGGATCGCCTGGTTTACGTGGTGTAAATGCAAATGGTTGCGTACTGCTGCTTACTGGAGAGGCGGAAACATGGAAACACATGCAAACATGCTGTTTTGACACCAACCTGGTTGCTGTGGCCTTCATAGATGTTCAGATGTTCAATTCAATTTAAACAATTGTTATCAATGTTTAAACCATCCCAGTGTGCAACTGCATCTGACGCGAAATTGAAGCACTGCGGCTTGACCTGGTCCTTTCTCGCTGGTCACGATGTGACGTGACGGGGTCCGGTGTTGTCATTGACCACAGTTCACGGCAAAGACCGAGGGGACAAAGGAAATACAGGCAAACAGTAGACAAAGGTATGTCTCAAAGTATAGGCTGCCAATGGCCCGGTTTTGAGTCAAACACCACAATATAATGTGCAGGAGAATATTTGGCAAACGACATGGGGATATATTGACCGTAAATAAACAAATATAAACCGGAACATACGATGCCAACGTACATAAAACCTCGGCGTTTGGTGTTGCCAGCTACCCGGAACCCCCCCAGAACAAATGTCCGTTGAAACTTGCTTCCCAAATATCCTACACCTTGGGATGGGTAGAAGACCTACAAAAGCTTCCAGAAGAAATGGATTCTGGTGACTCACACAGAAATCGTCACAGGCTTCGCCTTCCCATGGAGTGCCGAAGAGGTCCGACTCTTTTGATCCTGGAAATGCACCACGAGTACCTTTTTAGGTCCGAGTTGTAGCTTTAGATCTTGTGACCTATTGACATCTGCATGCTTGTTCACAAACTTGACAAGTGACTTCTTTCGGGGGCCTGCATGCTAAAAAGGCACCTTTAGGGAAAAGAACGAACTCCGTGTGACACGTGAGTGACCACTTCGTGCTCCATGTGTGCTGCCTCTGATATTCTGGATGCTGCGACAGTCGGCCAGTGATGGCCCCACCCGAGTGGCGACCCAGCAGGCGCAGCCCCGAACGGCGGAGTGCTGAAACAGATCGGCTCAAAGATGAGATATGTTGAGATATGTAATCACAGGGTTGAAACTTGAAACCCATCATGAAGCGTGGCAAACTGGAAAAACCTTTCATATTGCATATAAAGGATGACTTTGAAGAAGAAACTGCTGCCTGAAACCTGAACCAACGCACATTGAGATCACGACTTGAACTGAACCACCTCTGTAGAATTAAAGTCTTCCCTCTCTCCCTTCAACCCAACTCGATTCACTTTGATTCAAACCTGCAGCGAAGGCTTCCCTCGGCCGCAGCCGTCAAACCCACTCCTCCTCTTCTTCCTCCGCCTCCACCGTAGCCATAGCTATAGCTATAGCTGCTGTTGCTATAGCCGTAGCCGTTCTTACTGTTGTAGGAATCCCAGGCCTTTTGGAGGACATGAGGACACGAGGACATGGCAGACGGGGCGCCCTGGAACTGCTCGGGAATCCACATTCTTCCAAACAAAGCCAGCAAAAAACAGAGTCGATCCTGTATACTCACAGTGGTCCACTTGGTGAAACCCTGAAGGACTCTGGAGATAGACTCGTTCATGCAGGAATGTGTCCTAGTTGTGCACAACGTTTGATGCGTGAGTTCTTCCGTGGCATTTCACTAGTGTCCAGTGATTCCTTTCATTTATCTTTCCAGCAATGCCTGTCTGAATCAATTATATAATTATCTTCCAGTCACCCTAATGTTAGGGTCTCAACAAGCTTGGGGTCAAATCACCAAAAGGATAAATTGAATTGATGACGTCAAAAGGTTTAGGCTAGATATGGCTATAGGTCATTGAGTGGATCATGCTTGGTATGCAAAGGAGCCGACCATATTGGCTGCCTAAGGCTGGGTAATTAAAGTAACTGGTCAGTGGTGATGCTGAAGTCGTTTTGCAACTTTGACTTGAACAACACCTTGATGTTCAACGGAATCCAAAGTACGCTTTGCTGTCGCTCTGACATGTCGTCGTTCTGATAGAAAGCCACATTTTACGCTAAGGCTTGAAGACCTGGTGCTGATCATGGTGTATCTGAAGTGAACTTGCCATGACCTGAAATAGGTTACAATACGACAATACCACAACACATTCCTGAAGCAAACTAGTCGCAAGAATGCTACTACAGTAATTAGTAGCTAAGTGCGTCGCTACTAGTAACAAGAAGCTACTAGTAACAAGGTGCATTTCTACTAGTAACAAAAAGCTACTAGTAGCAGAGGGCATTACTACTAGTAGCTCTTCTCTCCTAGTAACAAGGACATCGCTACTAGCACCAAGCATCGGACCGTCTGCTCATCATCGACCGTGTCCATGAGACGCTCCCAGGGACGGTCGAGCTCGTAATCCTCCAATTGGAGTGATCTTACTGTCCCATGAGGAAATAAAGAAGTGGACTATGACGTTCCTTGACTAAGGAAAGCGGTCTGATACACTTTGATCTTCTGAAGCTTGATGAAGTTTGTGACTCATGGACCACGCCATGGATGCCCAGGAGAAAACTCCGACCAGGAGCAAAGCCAGCTTATCTGGCACACCAGCATACACCAGCCCCAACAAAGTCCGCTGACGGACCGGTCCGCGCCGGGCCGCCGTTCGAACCCCAAAAAAACCTTGTTACTACTAGCTTCTTCCTACATCTTCCCAATTAGTAGTGATGGCCTCCAACCTACTAAGAAGCTACAAGTAGCTTCTTGCTCCTAGCAGCGATGCCCTTTGCCGCTCCTGTAAGGCCTTCCAGAAGGATTTGTGATTCATGGTGTGCCGACCTTCGTCTCCTCAGTGACTCCGTCGGGACATCATCCGTGACACGGCAAACTCGAACTCATCGAGTTCGGAGCACGAGTTCGAGGGCCTTCGAAACATGCGAGACATGTGACCAGTGTCAAAGAGCAGAAGCAGCAAAAGCAGTGAACGTCCCGACACAGAGGTTTCGAAATTGTTGTTCAGACTGCCTAATCATATACGGTCCATTGAATAAGTGGAACATAGTGGAACTAGCTTGCAAGTCGATCTAATTAATTCTCAACACTTGGCATCACTTACACCACAAACGTACATCTGTTTGCTTACATGACATGAAACCCGAGCAAAGGCGCAAAAAACAAAAACACTGACATGGAAAGGATGTCAGGAATCCCCAAGCACAGCCAAGCACCAAACCTGCTGGAAGAACGCAGGGACACCTCTGGGACACCAATAGAATTGGGTAGGAAAAAATGGACACTCAGTTGAACAGCCCGGCCAGTTCACCGGGTTGAAAAGATGTCGCACATCGCACGAACTTGTGGTCCAATCGCGCCCACAAGGCACCCCGTGCTGATGGGTACCGGTGGGTGTAGGTGCGTGTCGGGGAGTGAGAAATGCGAGCAACATCCATGAATTGCTGGGGGTGTTAAGCTATCATCTCAGTGCGGCTTGTGGCCCTTGGCCCGGGATCGACAAAGGGATGATGGTCGGACTGGGAATTCACCCAGGTCGCCACGGACCTGCTTCTGGATATGTTTTACCTCACAACAGTCTCTATTGGGCCCCTTGCGGTAGAGCGCCACCAAGCAGGCCATCATTACCTCATCGATGGTGAAATGGATTGAAACTCTAGAATTTGGAGTCCAAATAGTTCGTACGTTGGTCACGCTGGATTTGGTCGGTGACCAGTGCCTTCTGCTAAAAAACGAGTTGAAAGCGAGAACCCATTGAATATCACCCCATTTTGAGGCATGGTAATCTGGAGACTCACACCTGACACAGTCTGTGTGATCACAGTCTGACAACAAGCAATCTTGGTTTTCAACCAAAGCTAGCGAGCGGCTTTTCAAAAAACATTCTCCGAACCCAGCCCCAAAGTCATTTCAGTTGAGAAGACCTCCAATGACATGGACCATTTTAGCTATATGTCCTGATGCTGTGTTTAGATTTGGATCACAGCCCCTGCCAACATGCTACTATTGGTTTCGATCTGTGAGACTCTTGCAGGTCCTCTCGGGCTGCGTGGGACATCTGCCCGTGCCTCAAAAACCTCTCCTTCGGCTGTTAATCAAAATCTAATCATTCCTGATGAACCACTACCAAGATGGATACTAGCTGCACGTGGGTGGTTTGTTTGATAATTTGGGGGGCCTGTCCGGACCTGTCCTGTTTCTTCAGTCCTATCCCAGTCCCGTCCACTTGGGACCCAGCCGATCGCTTGCCTGAGATTCCAATAGCTTTGATGTGTCTCAAGTCTTCTCTGTTGAGCCTCGGTCAAACACCCGACGATGCGTCGATGTCAATCGGGTCCAACAGGGTCCCAGAAGCATTGACTGGGGCGGAAAAAAATTGCATCAACTGGCGAGTGGGAATCGGAATCACTTGAACAACTGAATCACAGGGTCCCTGGATGCTGCGCATGGTTGGATTCGAGTTGGTTGGGGAGTGGTTCGCATGTCCGGGCAAACCGAAAACCCCAAGGTCGATGGATCAAGCTGCCCTCATTAATGGAGCGGCTGGCTCTATGACTCTATGTACATCTATGTACTCTATTGCCTGGGATGTGGTAAAAGAGTTTCAGTTCCACTGGCTGGTCCGGCAGCAGCATCTCCCATCTGTTGGGTCAAGTCAGGTGCACTGCCCTCTTGACCACTGGACTGCACTGCCTTGAATGTCTCGTACAGTTGAGGATGTTGTCCATTGGCTGATTGACTGTACATCAAATTTGTGATTGTGGTTAATGTATTTACCATCTTTGCCTGCTTCACTTGGGGAAAAAGGGTGATCAGTGATATGTTATTCTTATATATATATATATATTTGTGTGTGTGTTTGTCCGAAAAGGATCGAAAAGGCACAGGCACAAACTTACCCAACCGAATCTACACTCATTGACTCATAGTGAAACAAATCGATTTTACTTGTGCCCAATTGAGGTATCAAGATGTATCAAGATCATATGAGACCTTCCGAAAGCTTCAAGTCTCAGCCTTTGCTCCAGAAAACCGACCTCGACTCCACGATTCTCAGCCTTACGATGGATAGATCATCTGGTGAGAATCCGAGTCCACGACATTCCTGCGGCGTTTCAGCGGTTCCGGACGGCTCAGCTATGAGTGCCATGGCCGATGTGCCCAGCTATGGCCGATGTGCCCAGCTATGAGTATCAGGAAACCGATGATCTGCCATTCACCTGGAACTGAACAGCAAACAACACCATCCACCGAGCAAAACCGCCGATCTGCACTGAAAAGCTTCAGTACGACGTGCGAAGATGGGAGAATCCTGAATGCGGCCAGGCCGTTGCAACGAAAAACGGTCCCTTCATCATCCAGTCTTGTCTGCGAAATGACAAGGGGGCTTTGGGAGGTACCCCCAACAACTGCTTGTCGAACACTCTCTTCACATTGAGGCCAGGGCGGAATGTGCAGTTTTTGTGGACTCTTGTTTCCCAGGCAATTTCTGGGCCAAGGGCATCGCCACTAGCAACAAGGGCATTACTACTATAGGAAGAAGAAGCTACTAGGAACAAGTGCATCGCTTCCAGTAACAAGGGCCTCACTAGTAGGAACAAGAAGCTACTAGGAAGAAGTGCATCGCATGTGACTGTCCTGCACCAAAGATCCTCGGTGCGAGCCCATCCGAGGGCATCCGACGCGACGCACCATCCGGGGACCAGGTCGCCTATGGGTCGCCTGATGACCATCTCATCTCCCTCCAACTTGATGCAATTGCTGAGACCTAGAATCCCTCCTTTTGGACCATCAACCCAAGATCCTCGAAGTTCAATAGGTGAGTCAAGGCGCGTCCATCTCCCAGAAGCTTGAAATCGGTGCAGAGACTGCAGCGAAACCGCTACACCTCCGAACAAACCAACCTTCATCGACCGCTCATCTGCAGCTCAACGGGCCGAGTGTCTATCATCGCAATAATCGAATTGCCCCTCGGCTCGCCCTGAACAGGACAAGGCTTCCTGCATAAGCCTGGGGGCGGAGCTCACACGGTGGGGAGATGTCTGGAGATGGATCAAAGACCCCAGATCGGTATGATCTCAGTATCCCAGAGCAACTGGGAGGACTCATAATTTGCAGTACCTGCATGTATCATGTATCTGCTACATTCACGGATCTGGCTTCAGCCAAGCATGTTTGAATGTGTATTGTTTTTTTCTGATTAGTTGGTCTCTTGACATGACTTAGGCAAATCCCTGCTGTAAGTCTTCCATCTTCTCTATTCCTAATGGCTTCAAGTGACCCTTCCTTCGGCCGCTGCGGAAGACCGATGCTGAAACCTCAGGGGTCGACCAGGACAGGTTGCTGCTAAAGATGCTGTCCTTCTCGAGGTCGACCTCAAAGGAGAATCAAAATATATGAAATTATGAAAACAAATCTCAAGTTGAAACAAATAATTGAATTCATGTGCACTTTTTAAGGCACCGGTTCAAGTTCACAGGCAGAGTTCCCATCTTTGGACGTTCCAAAAAAAACGCTTGCGCGTGATCGTTAAACTCTCCTGGTCAGAAACCCTCCACGGATGGATGACTTCTCCCTCCGAAACTGGGCCCAGAAGGATAGGAAGATCCACTGGTAAATTTCACATCTCATGATCCGCGCACTTTGATGCCTCACAAACCCAAGACATATATAGTTCATTGTCAATGGGTGGGGATGGGTGAGGTATATGTGTGCGAGCTTTGCCTGTCCAAAAGGCTCTGTGTCAAGCTTCACGGTACGCTCATCCGTTTGGGGGGACTGGGGGGCAAATGGATCGACCCAACTAGAGCTTGGCGACCCGGCCACCGGGACGTTGTTTTGAACTATCCATAATTTTGCACCTTCAATTGGCTTCTTGTCCTGGCTCGTCAGCAGCAAATCCGGACAGGATGAAGAAAACTGCAGCTATGCTTGCTAAAGGACTGTGCTCTGGGGGGCCAAGGCTTATCACTTCTAATTGGGTAGAGAGAGTCCCAATCACCAACATCCCAACATCCCAGATTGTGGGACGCTGGCACCCTTGCCTCAAGGCCCAATGTATGTTTCACACTCAGCATCAACAGACCACCGACTTGCCAGTCTTTACAGATCTGTTTGAACTTCTGCAACCCGGGAGTCCTCAAATCTCACCTTGAATACAACACTATAGTCACCACAAACATCACTCAGAACCCTTCCTGCACAATTCTGGAAATGATCAAAGGTTCATACAGTCAAACCTCACTTGGAATAGAAACCCATCTGTTTGCGCATCGCGCTATCGATCTTCCGTGAAGGCTCCGGCGGCTCCGGCTCGGTCCTCAAGGCTGCTCCTTAGATCCTCAGCGTCCAAAAGCGATCGGTCCTCGGTCCTCCACGTGTCCTTGATGGTCCTTTGATGGTCCTTGGTTTTGCGACATGTTTTTTTAATAATCAATCCCTAGGTCTTAGGTTCGATTCTCGGATTTGGACGAGACAAGTTCGTTGACGAACAGTGCCGAGTAAATAACCCTAGACTACACCCACACCGTGCCATAACATATCATGGCAGTGGCGGATTATCTCAGATTATGAATATACTTCTGGGGGCACCTCAGATAGCTTTTTCAAGATTTTTCAATCATCAAACAGTACAGTACTGCCAAACCAATCCAACATCAGTGGTTCAAGTAACTCAGTGTTGGTAACGAAGCTTCGATCACCGGTCACGAGGTTCTCGAGGTCCTCGTCCACGAAAGTCGATCAGCGCGGCACACGCGCTCTTTTCAGTGAGCCATTGCTCAAGTCGCGCGCGCACCCGCCACTGAGCTTGAGGCGAGCGCGGCGATCACAGTTCACATGTCTGATCTACCGGGTTGTGCGGCGCACAAACAACATCGGTGAAGATCATTCAGAAAAAGGAAATTTCAAATTCGCGGCCTCTCACTTCTCACCAGTCTTCACTTGAGGTGGCTACTCCGAACAACGTGCCGTGGGTTCCGCCAACCCAATGAACACCCTCGCCCGATGCTGTCGGGGTGCATTTGTCAAAGAACAAATGGGCACATGCCTTGCAAGGCTGTCGTTCGTAGACCAGGTTCGCGGTCCTCTGAGCAACACAAGCCCTCGACGCATGCCAGCAGCCTCCTTGGCTTGCTAGATAGACTGGCTTGAAGGAAGCCTGTTGTCCTGCCACTTTGAACTTCTGGTTGAAATCTGCCTCTTGCATTTCTTTCATCTTGTGGTGCTCTTTTGCCAGCAGTCGTAGTTCTCTTTGTGCGTCCTGTCGTGCCTGTTCCGACACGGCCAACTCTTCTTTCAATCTCTGGTTCTGCTTGGTGATGGTAATGTTCTCCTTGCGCAGCTCTACCAGTCTTTGCTCTTCAAGTCCGGTTCGAGTTGTCTGGGCATCGTTCTCTTTGAACTTCTTCTCAAGGATCACAATCTTTGGACCTTGTGTCCACTTCCAGAAGAGCCAGGTGAACATGCCGATGAACATGATCGTCAAGATCAACAAGACATAGTCAATCAAGTCATGTTCCTCCCCCTTGTAGTGGCTCATAGTGCCCGTGAAGTTACCATCTTTCTCTTCAAAAGCGTTCACGGTGTCCAGGAAGTAGTTTGAAAACATTGCAAACAATGCTCTCTCTGGTCGTCTGATGGCATACATGTTCTCACCTTTCTTCCTGTTGGTCACATTCTTCCGTTTGGAAGCCTGGAAGGTCTCGTCACTCTTCAGCCTTGTCATGTGAGATCGAAGTCGTTGTCCAAGAAGAGCAGCTGCTGAATCCTTGGTCAGACCATCAGCGTACTGGAGCTCTGAAGATACCCACATGACTTTTCCATTGCAGCATGATAGCTTGTCTCGACACACAAGAGCCTCAATGGTGGTTCTCTTGTCTGCTCCGGTTGCTGCTTGGATCTCATCTTTCACCAGGACATCATATAAGGCCTTGGCATCCACAATGAGCTTGGGACTGTTCTGCAGATGTCCAGTGCTCACGGAATCCAGTGGCATCAATGCCTTGAAGATGAGGTTCCAGAACAAGGAGGTGTACATGAGACTATCTGCGGCTTCACTTGCTGCCTGGGATTCTGCTGAAAGCGTGCTTCTTGACACACGTGGTAGTTTCCAGCTTCTCCAGTCAATCACATTGTAGTGCCCTTCACACTTGCCATTGGCGACGTCCTTGTGGCACATAGCCAGGAGGTATCCACCTTGACTGCTCAAGTCTGATCTTGTTGCGAAGGAAGCGTCACTGTATGCGATGAAGGTCATGTCTTCTTTGGCTCCAAGACATCTGTACTGGAGTCCCACGTCGGCGTACTCCTTGGCATAGCGCAGGTGCTTATTGCCTTTCTGAAGTGTTGCCACTGTTGCCTTTGAAGTCTCACCAGCCAGCTGGGAAATTCCGACTTGTAGATGAGGTGAGCTCTGGGTGGCAGGCCACTGCAAACCACCTATCAGTCCACGTAGTAGAGATCGTTCTCGTTCTGTCACTGGAAGGTCAGGACTGTTCACTCGCTCCTTGGCGATGGGTATTGGCTTCACCTTGTGGATGTAGGACTCTTGGCTCAAGGCGAGGACATCTTCAGAAAGACTCTTGATTTGGCTCCCGCAGTACTCAAGGTTGTTGCCCTCTTGCCACTCACGGAACGTGAAGACATTCTTTAGCTTCTCTTTGACTTCATGGAAGTACGGGTCTTGCAGATCACCGCAACCAACTAAATCGTCAACGTGTATGCCAAAGATGCAGGCCAGTCCTCGCTCCACCGTTGGATCCGTCATCTTTTCTGGGTCCAGAGGTCGATAGACCATGAAGAGGCATGGGTCCAGTGGATGTCTCTGGATGTTGCCTTCACCAACTCGAAGGATGCGTTCTGTTGCCTCTTCGTACCATGCACGGGGAGCATCACATAGTCCATACATTGGCTTCACCAATCTCATCAATGTTGGTTCATCAGGTGACATGCCCAGAAGCTGCTTGGCGTCACGTGGCAATCTGATCCAGATCACTCGCTTGGATTCCTTGTCAAAGTTCTTGCCCTGTAAAAAGGCGGTCGTGATGTCTGAGGTGAACATGTGCCATTTGTACAGTTGGCAAATGCATAGTACCAGGCCTCTTGCCAGTCTGGTCAAAGTTGGGGCATTGGTGGACAAGGCTCCGGAAAGTGCATCTGGGTCTTTGAATCCTTGTGTGATGAGTCTTGCTTTTGCTCTTGGAGTGCCATCTTCATTCTTCTTCCAAGTCAAAATGAAGTGGGCCTTGAGGATTCGCTCAGGGTCTGCGTTCTTCTCCTCATCATAGAGCCATACCTCATTCTTAACAAAACTCTCCAGCTCTTTGATCTTCGCCTGGATGAAGGCTTGACGGTCGGCCACACTCATGTACCTTTCGAACACCTCGTCCTTGCCCTTCTTCTTCTTGGCAATCTTGTCTGACGGTGTTCTCAGGGTCTTGTACCCGTTACTGGCTTTCTTGTAGTCCTGTTGTGCTTGTTCGCGCCAGTTGGGTTTGATCTTGAACTTGGTTTGTCCCGTCCAGTAGGCCTCCTCGATAAGAGGATTTCGGCTGTGTCTCTTCCATCTGTCCTTGAAGATGCCGTGAGATGTGCTTGACACTCTTTCCTTGACCAGGTAGTTCAGATCGATGAGCATTCTTCATCCAATGGACGATAGGCCTCTTTTCTTGGGACATAGTGATTTCTGATGAGCCAATTTCCTTCCATGACCCAATCGTCTTCCGGGCTGTCTAGGCAAAGCCATCCATTTTCAAGGTGCCAACCTGGTGGTAGATCATCGATCTTCTGGACATCCACATCAATCTGCATGTTCATGTCCTCTGTGGCCACCTGATCATATGGCGTTGACCGGGCAGTCTCTGACTTCATGGGTCCATACACCGTTGGCTTCTTCAAGAAAGACAATGTCTCCTGTTTGTCCACTCGGCTTCTCTGGTTTCTGAAGCTCTCATTGACGGTGGATTCATAGAGCCTCTTCTGATGTTCCGGGACTGGTGCTGGAGGCATCTCCTGTGGTGATGCTTCATTGCTTGGTGCTGCCGGTTCCTCCAGAGGTACTTCATCTGCTTCATTGTTGTTCTGTGGTTCTTGAAGTGCAGCATCTGCTGGTGCGTTAGCTGCTGGGTTTGCCGGTGGTGGCATTGCTGATGCTGACGTTCGTGGTTGATCATCCTCTGGTGATCCCTCCTCTGGTTCCGGAGGTTCTTCCGGTTCGTCTCGCACCAATTGTTCAAAGGTGTCATCTGAGGCCGTCTCTACGTCATCATCTATCTGGAAGGTCGTTGTCCCTGTCCACCGATAGTGAAGGTTCCTTCCAGCATCAATCGTTCGCCAATCGTCTCGTAGTCGAAGATGCTCCGGATGAGGTGGGTTCCGTCTGATGACAGTGAGACGTTGGTTCCGGAAACGGTCTACTGGGACATCATCAGTGCTGACTGGCACAAAGAGTTCTTTGCGCTCAACATTGTGTACACGGGTCCAGGTCTTCTGATCATCACTGACCTGCCAATAGTCAGCCAATCCTGGATTCACCTCCCCTTCTTCTCCTCCTGCCATGTGGTCATCGTCGAACTCTTCATCTTCCTCATCACTAGAGACTTCATGTCTTTGTCTTTTGTTCGTCTTGGTGAGGTCGGTGTAGAGCGTCGTGCCCCTGCTCCTAATGTTCTGCAGGGCTTGCTGTGCCTTGAAGAAGGGATCATCATCAGCTGCCTTGCCAGAATCCTCCACAGGTGCAGGTCGAAGATGTTCTGGTGCTGTTCTCGAGAGGTTCGTGCCGTGCACGATCCAGTAGATGTTGGAATGAGGTCCGCCATCGAGTTGCTCAACCATCACAATGCGGGCAGGTCCGCGCCATCGTAGTTTGGGTCCTATGCCACCTGGCCCATCTCGGTAGTAGTAGCACATGTCCCCCAAATGAAACACGGTCAGCTGACCAGCGAACTTCCTGTTCATTGCCCGTCGCAGTCTTGTGTCAACATCTGCTGAGAAGACGGCATTGGCTGCTGCTTTCTGCCTCTGTAGCTTCTGCAAGAACTCGTCCGACGGATCAAGTGATGGTGGTGGCAGAGGTTCTTCTGTCAGCAACCCAGGAATGTGTGGCGTGTAGCCCAAGACCCACTGCACTGGACTGTAACCTCGGACACTGAGGAATGACATAACACAAGGCCTGTATCAGCTTCTCACGAGGTTCTGCTGGCTGCAATATGTTGCCTTGCTCTTGATCAGCCAGAAATAGTTCCAATGCTCGCCTGGTCACCTGGTGTCGTCGTTCCAGGATGGCAAGTCGTGTGTGACTCTGTCCAGGTGAGATCCTCAGCTCAACAGGATTTGACATAGTCTGAGGCCCAGCTCCTGTGGTCATCAACCTGTAGGGTTTGCATTGGTCCAAAAACACGCACCCAGGCTCTTTCCACAGCTAGGATGAACTCTTCTGGTGATTCCTTCCAAATCACTCGTCCAGCCAGAAAACGTGTTGCTGTGTCACTGATCATCAGGATGGGAAGAGCTTTCTTCATGTTTGGAATCTTGATCCAAAGAGTGTCAGCTTGAACCCTGGCGTTGAACTCTTGCACACTAGGCACTGAGGAGACTGGTACTTGTGGTCGATGTTGGTGCTGTCGGCACACATCACAGTCATGTTCTTTTGCACATTCGATCAGAACACTTGAGGCTCCTTTCATCTCCAAGAGTCGCTTGAGCTCTGCATTAGTAGGGTGTCCAAGGTTCCTGTGGAGTCGACTCACTGTTCGCTTGGCTAGCTGGCGGTCTTGTCGTTGCAGTCGTTGAAGTACTCCAGTAGCCTTATAGCTTTGCACTCTGACTTCAGGTTCTGCTGGAGGCGCCGGTTCGTGATTGGGCTCATCTGGTTCTCGTTGTTCGGTTCCAGCCACTGAGGGAGTATACTCTCCCATGTCTTCCAAGTCCCATTCTCCACCCTCCAGGGCAAATTCCTCAGGCTCATAGAAGAGGCAGTCGATTGCCGCACCAATGTGGTAGCAGAAGGTTGTCTGGTAGGCTCCGGCAGCTTTGGTCAAAGAACCAATTCCCGGCAAGGACCCTTCTAGAGGTAAGTGTTCATGATCTCCGGGACATCTCCAAGCCAGGTAGTCTGCCATGGTAGCACTTGTGAGCTGCAACCTTGTAGGCTTCTTCACATACTGGTCGGCAATTTTGGTGTCATAAGCACACTGATCCAATCGACATGGCCAGCCAGGGAGGTTCGACCGCGTCTTTGTTGTCCATGCTTTGGATCCCGCTGGGTGCTCGATGGCTGCGTCTCTTCCTTCATTGTATTGGATCACGAAAGTGCGTTCTGCCAGTTTCAAGTGAACTGCTTCCTCATAGTCCTGCTCGCATCTCAAGGCGAACTCCTGCTCCGGGGTCAAGGCATTGAGAGCTTGCATCTTGGACCACTTTTTGCATGCTGGTGCCAACCACAGAAAGTCTGGCGCCACATCTTCCAGCAACTTGTAGTAGGCATTCCGGTGCTCAGGAAGATCAAAGTTCCAGCCGGTGTTGGTGTCGAAGCTGTACACCAGGTAGCCTCTCCGCTGCATCTCCAAAGAGAGACCGGCTTCGCCTGAGTAAACTTCCCAGAACACCTTGGCTCCTTCTTCATGAGCACGTAGTCCTTGCTCTAACACAGAGCGACGGTGGGCAAACATCGTAGCATGATGAAAGCGAATGCCTCGGAGGAGTTTGTCCGTGATCTCTTTCCGCACTTCAGCCACCTGTTCATCGTTGTGCCCTTGAGGTTGTTGATCCATCACTAGTTCATCATCATCCGTGAGGTTGTCCTGGAAGGGTTCACCGTCGACCTGAAGGCAATGCTCTGGTGGATCTCGCCCGGTGGCCTCAAGGTACTGAAGAAGCGTGTAGGTGGAGGAATGCATCGTTCCTGACCGTTGAACCATCTCGAAGGTCTCGGTTGTCACCAGGTCAAATGCCAAGTTATGTCCTTCGGGATCACCTTGCACTCCATCATCCAACCTGAGAAGGTACTCACCACGGTCGCCCTTGATGGCGGGCTTCCAGTCTTGGTCGCCGTAGGAGATGAGATCTTTATCCCAGTCCACCTTCACCTTCAAAGACTTGAGGATGGGCCGCCCAACAAGCAAAGGCGTAGCGCCGTCCACCAGGAAGCACTCGATCATGCCTGACTGACCATCCACGTAGACCGGGAGCTTCACGGTCCACTCTGCCTTCCTCATCGCATCACCTCCAAAGCCAAACATCTTCGTGGTTGGATGGAAGGTGTATCTCTCCAAGGGCACACCACGCTGGTTCATGTACTCGATGATGTTCATGAGAGTCTCATGGCCGCATACCATGCTGCTAGCTCCACCATCCTGCAATCCAAACCAACCTTGCTCAGAGAGTTGTGGAGTCCCTTTTCGGCTGAGATCATGCATCATGAAGGCTTGTCCTGAAGTCTTTGTGGAGGTCTCGGTCTTGGTTCGCTTGGGTGATTGCGAGGTCTTGTTCATTGGACACTCAGCCGCTGCATGCCCGAAACGTCCGCACTTGAAACACTGCATGGAGTCTAAGGCCGTTCGTCCCCTGTTGAAAGCCGTTCCCTTTTGGGGTGGTGGTTTCCCCTTGCCTTTCCCTTTCTTCCCTTTTGAGCCTTTGGTCACTGGCCTCTGGGAAGTGGTAGTCGAGGACGAGGTTGATCCTGGCATGTCAGAAGGGTTCGACAGTGCCACCACTGGATAGAAACCTCGTGCAGCACGGAGGTTGGCAAATTGCCGGCGTGCATCAAGGTATGCTGCATAGGCTTCTTCGAGAGCCGGGTCCGGCTCCTCCGGCCAGGGTTCTTCCGTGTAGTAGAGCTCCTCATCCTGGCCACCGAAGGCACCGTCATCCTCATAGTCTTCATAGTTGGCATCCTCTTCATAGAGCTCATCGTCGGCCTGAACGTAGGTCTCCTCGAGATCGTCGTCATACTCGAGGTCATAGTCTTCAGCTGCATAGGCCTGTTGGCTCTTACGTGGATACCATCTGCCCTTGCCCTTGGCATGCTTGTTCCAGGTCTTTGGCTGCTCTGACCTTGACTTGAAGTCTTGTCCCAGCAGGTAGTACATGACCTCTTCAACTTTTGCCCTCTTCATCTCGGGGCCAACCTGCGACTGAATTAAGTGCTTCTGTTCTTGCGTCAAGTTGCTCCGTCGAAGAAGCATCCAGCCACTGACACTGTCTGGGATGCGGATGTTGTGGCGTTCGATTTCTCGAAGCTGCTCTCTGTGGTCTGAGCAGTAAGATAGGAGCGTTTGGTCGCTCCTCCTCGTCAGTTGATAGAAAAACTTCTCGAGAGCTCTGGGCATTTCTACCCGATCATCGTACTGAAAGGCTGCATCCAATGCTTTCAGCACTTGCTCAAAGCCGTCGGAGGCCTCGGCTACCTTATCGACGAGGTGTTCGACCTGCTTCCATGCTGTGCCATTGAGGCTTGTGAGAAGGTTCAAGATTGTTTCCTTCTCTTTTCCTTGAAGGGCCAGTTTCTTCTTGTAGAGAATGATGCGCTGCCGCCACTCCTTGTAGTCAGCCACTCGGTTATTGAAAACCGGGATGTAGGTGTCCTTCATCGTCTCGATGGATCCACCTGAAGCTGAGGAGGTAGTAGAGGGACCGGAGGCTGAAGGTCCTGGCATCTTCTCTTCTTCTTGGAGCGCCCTGGTAGCGCTCCGCTACCAATGTTGGTAACGAAGCTTCGATCACCGGTCACGAGGTTCTCGAGGTCCTCGTCCACGAAAGTCGATCAGCGCGGCACACGCGCTCTTTTCAGTGAGCCATTGCTCAAGTCGCGCGCGCACCCGCCACTGAGCTTGAGGCGAGCGCGGCGATCACAGTTCACATGTCTGATCTACCGGGTTGTGCGGCGCACAAACAACACTCAGTGATTCCTGCCTCTTTCGCTCTGATCCTCAAGCCAAAGATCGACAGATCTAATTATGTGAGGCTTATGTCGGGTTATTGCGAAGAGTTAAAGTGAGGTCTTGAAATGTCTTGAATCTGTATAGTTGTTCAACCTGCTCATTCTGCATAGCGTACCATATGTGAGCTGGATTAGAGTGTTGTGGAGGTTGATTCGCCCGAACCTTGCACCAGAAATTCTAGCAAAAGCAGGCAAAGCCAATATGCAGCGACCAATATTCATACTATTATGTAGCTCGGTACAGTAGCCAGAGACCCTTTTGACATGATTGTTGCTCTGAGTGGGAGTCAATCTCCAACACCTACAACATTCTGGTTACCTTTGCTTGTGGGCATCTTTCTTGGTACCGTATCGTCTTCAGTGGACACCTAGACTGATCCCCCCCGATCCCCCCGGTATGCACCCGCCAAGACTCATGAGACCTGGCTCTGCCCATCGTCGGACTCTTTGAGCCACTGGTGACACTGAGACGAGCCGACAAAAAATCAGTGGTCGATCGACGCAGCGAGAGAAGCACGAGGAGGCTCGGAGAAGTCAATGTGTCCCACCTTCCACATCCAAGGTCACAGAAGGCTTCTAAGGGTGCTTCTGGTAGTAACTTCTGTGTTTTGACTGCCACAGGCCCACAGGAGTTTGGTGTTTGAAGTATCGACATGAAAGAGAGGTCAGGCCCCATTCACCACGGGTATGTGGAGTCGGACGTGGGCACTCCCCTACAAACCACGCGACCACGACGCGACCCAATGGCTCACCGAAAGGACCCTCCAATCAAAAGGTCTGTTCTGGGTATGGGTCATCATTCCAAAAAAGAACATATAATATAGAGGGAGAGTTGTGCACCCGCAAAATAGAGCCGGGCGATGTCGGGTGTTGTTTTTTTTGGATCGTCATCGCCCTACCCCGTCAGCGCCCGGCCATTTTCCGGGCAACGCCACGCGGCACGGGCTTGCCGGGAAAGCTCAGCCGCCCAGCCTGCCCTCATAAGCCCAGCCGGGGGATGGAAGAGTTCACGGCACCATCTGGTGATTGAATTTATTGATCTATGAGCGAAGCAAGTCACGCTATGAAGCCATGAAACATATGAAACGCATGTTGAGAATCTGTGAATCTATCAAAGCGATCCATGTTCAGGTCGACGAGCAGGTCAATGAGACGAGCAGGAAGAATCGGACGCGAGACGGAGCGAAGGACCGAAGGTCTCCCGAAGGACTGGACTCGATTCTTTTGACTGGAGCTTTCAAGGAACATCCACTGAAGATATAAAATCCCTGGAGTCTGTAGCAAAGAGAATCAAAGAGATATATAATCAGTTATATATAACATAGTTAGACCATGTTAGACCAAATGTCCAAATAAAGTGATAATTCGCCAAACAAGCTCACATCCCCAGGCTGCGTGCGAGCGGAACAAGCATGTGGAAGAGCCAGATTCTCTTGGCCACATCTTGCTGTGCAGCTTGTGGCACTCAAGACTGTTCTCGGCACCATGAGAACACTTGAAGCCTCCCATGCAGTTCCATTTCCCGTCGGTGATGATATCGAATCAATCAGAGCGTCGAAGCACTGAAGCATCCAGCCTAAACAGCAGGTCATCAGCCTAGTTTTTTCTGCTGAAGCATCAGCTTCTCTTCCTTCTTCTTTGCCTAAGTGAGAAGAAATTGTCAATGCAAAACAAGAATAAGAATCCCTTATAAGAATCCCTAGGAAGCGAGGAAGTCCTAAGAAATAGTTGCTGACCTGTTGGAGGATGTTGGTAGGAAGTGTCCGTGGTTCCTTTGAAGCATCTTGATGCCACTACCAAATCTAGCACGCACAAACACAAAAATGTCTAGGGTGCCGTCCAAGCGGCACAGTGGGCCATGTCGCAAATGGCGGCACTTCCCGTTCCAGACATCAAACACTTGGCAGCTCCTAGGGCCAGAAGCCCATTCGAGACCTTCTGAGGCAAGTGCACCAGGTCCTGTTTTGGCCGAATCAGGTGAACCCCCAGTCCGCAGAACCCCATCAACACTGGTACCTCACGATTTCATTATAGATGCAATTCAAACGGGCAGCAGGACTAGAGCTAGCATGGCCTAAATGCCTGGTTGTGTCCGTGTTCTCTCGCGGATTCCTTCGATGCTTCCTTAAAGTTGGAGGAAGCTTGGTGCAGCAAAAGGCACATGGTGAAAGAACTTATCACAAATGGTAGCTGGTAATTAGAAGGTTTGTAGTACAGTAGATACACATGCAATAGATGTTTTATGATGTATTGAAAAGGCGAGAGTGTCATCTCAAGACAAGTGACTACCTGTCAAAGACGATTCCCACGTTCTTTAGTAAGAATTAATAAGAAGCACTCGGAGACTAGTGGCTTGGTTGGTGTTGAATAATGATCCAACATGATCCAAAAAAAACTCCCTGAGCTCGCCACAATCTAAGTCAACGTGCATATAAGTAATAAGTTGCTCACATCAAACACCCTTTTGCAAACGATTAAGAAAAACACCTACGCAGGGCGGTCCCCCTGGCCATCCATGCTTTTACATGGTATTGACATAGATCCAACCGTGTCCTGATCCAACTGAAGGTTTTGTCTCCCAAACCTGTCCTGACGAAGGCTGGCGAGCCAATCCTCATTCTCGCCCGAGATCTTCGTCACATCGGCCAGAGACATGGTGCGGTATCCTGGCACCTCAGACGTTGCGGCAGTTGCCAACATGCCATGCGCTAGCTAAAGCTGCTGCAAGTATGTGGTGCCTCAAGAGAAGACTGGATGTGTGTCCCCTAAGACTCTAAGCTTCTGAAAACAGCCCAAACCCGTCAAATTCCGCGTCTTAGGGACGTCCCAAAAAGACTACAATGACCTCACGAAGCTAAAAACCAACTAGCTGTTTTGGTTCTCCATACGAAAAAGCCTCCACGTGTAATCCCCGGGAGGAGCGTCAGTTCTACTGGCCGGGGCTGGATTTCTGGAGGATATTTCCTGCAAAAAGGATTGATATTATGCATTCTTCTTCATGGTATATGTTGCAGTAGGATTCCCTCTTCTATCAGTATATGTGAACCCACCGGGTAGCAGCCCCAGAAGCGAAACAGCAGTGGGTGGTGTTTTGGTCCCCTCTAGACCAACCAGCTCGACTCCCCAAACCAAGCGACCTTCTCTTCCAAGCTCTGGCAATACTTTTTTGAGGCTTCTTCCACATAGCTGTAGTTGCTTGCAGCTTCACTGCTCAACTCATACCAGCCATTCACGTGACAGTACCTACCAGCAAAGGTGAAAGAACAGGTCTTTTAGGACACTTGGCACAAAACAAAGACCATTGTAGTATCCAGAAGCATCTAGGACTCGTCCACGCACTTGTGCAAATTGCTTCTGTTTCAGCTTGGTGACCAAACAAAAAAAGCTTGTTTGTATTGTAAACTCAATCAAAACCGCTGGCTGCGACATGAGTCAAAAAAGGTCTGTCCCCTTGAAGCGAAAAACTGGCTCTCTGGGCATCTCTGGGCAAAAATCCTAGGCATCTCTGATGTCCATTCGAGGATACAAACACCGCTGTCCATTTGGGCTACCTGAGTTGAAGAACGATAGGAACCGATTCCTCTTCCATACCCGCTGGAGGCAAAAACGTTTTAGTTCCACACACATCTCATCGCCAAATCGAGGTGCAGATCATCCAGGACATGCATCCGGTCCACGTTCACCTCAGATCCTTCCAGCACAAAGCGCTGTGTTCGGCCCAAGTGCATCGGGCTCTCCTTCTTCTGGATGACGTCGGTGAAAGGAACGAGCTGCCGTACCTCGCGGGCCACAGCACACTTGGAGAACAGCTCACCCATGATGCCGTAGATGCACCATCCTGGGATGAGTGCAGGGCTTCTTTGAAGGACGGGCAAAACGGCGTGGCGATGTGCGTGGCATGTTCGTCCTTCCGCCTTCGACCGCAAGTGTTGCATCGTCAGTCAAATATCTCAGAATATTTGCCTTTTTCTAGTTCCCCTCTTTGGTGGTGCATGGTGTGGTCAGTTCTCCATCAAGAATTGAACCACTCCGAGCAGGTAGAGCCCTCGAACAAAGGGAACCCTACAAATGAGTTGTGACGAATGGGTACACGAATGGGATCGAATGGGTACAAATATGTGTATATATATATTCCTCCTGACCCTTTCGGAGGGATGTATCTGTATGAAATGATCAGCCAGCAAGGATCTGAACCAGTCTGAACCTACGTTTTATCCATGCAATAAGCTCTGTCTGAGCTACACAAGAGCATGTCTTCAGGCAAAATCTTCTGATGCATGTTGGCATGATTAAGTTGGTCGAGCATGCCGTTACCAATCTGAAGAAAATGCATTTGGATCTGTTGATCTTTTTTGACCCTTATTCTTCATGCTTGAGTAGAGTTTCCATCATAGTTGGGGTGATCCTTCAGCACCTCCTGGATGGGCTTGCGGTAAATCTCCCAACTCAAAGATCGCAAGCAAACACCTGGCCATCCAGAGGACGCGCAACTGGCTGAGCAGTCATCTTGGTTAGAGATGTTCCGTCAGACATGAGACATGAGACTAAAGACCGCAACAACTGTTAGCAACAATAGTCCCCAAATAGTCATCAGCGACTGGTGCATATCTCAGCAAAACCACTTCGTGCAATCTAAACGGCAACAAAAAACCATCTCGCGTGGGCACCAGATTGTGCTTTCCGGTGCTCTAGGACTCCAAGAGTCAAAGAAAACCTAAGCCATCAAGCACCGGCATCTCACGTCTTCTCACGTCTCCTGTCGCAAATCCACCTGGCAATGCCGCTTCGCGAGACTCCAGATGTTTCTCCAGATGCTTCGCCATTTGCACAAACGAAGTGCGCTGCGCTGTCTCCTCATCTTCGCTCGGAGAGCAACTCGCTGTCTCCGCTGTCGCCACTTCGGCCAGAAGGCAGCAGAGCAAGGCGCGCCAGGCCATGATGGACGTGTAAACAGCTCCTAGAGGTTTCGAGCTGAAAAGGTTTTCATGCAGCTGGCAACTCCCTAACTACTTACAACTCTCAAGACACTCTTCTTCAGAAGACTCAAACGGTCTCACCACTGTGAAAGGTGGACCTGCCGATTTTGGGGTGAGCTGGTGAAGTCGTCATGCCAGTGTGCCCAGATGAAACCATCGATCGAAAGGCTCAAAACGCTTGGTATGCGGTCGTTTCTTCGTCAAACGCAGTACAGCATCCAACATGTTTCGAAGCCTTTTTCATCTTTTTCTCGATGCGGAAGTGCATGCGGAAGCAACATATTCTTTTGATCAAAGTCTATCCAGTAGTCTTCTCTCAGGCTGTGGGGAAGGTGTGAGTAAAGTTCCTCAACGGCTGAAATGGATGAGCTGCAATCAAACTCGCCACAGAGTCCGAAATCAACGGTGGGCGATCAGATCCTTATGATGCTATGGGGAACTGGCACCAGGAGACCTTGTTTGACCCACCTGGAAGGTCGTTCACTATACGTAGACCAGGGGCTCCAGGTTGAACGACCCCTGTCTTTTGGAACCCCGACCGCATCCAGCCCAGCAACGCAGCAACGGACCTTTTTGACGTCTCATTTGGGAATCCACTCGGCCACTGGCTCGGGTTGCACATAGGCGAACTCCTGCAGGTGGAATTGGGATTTTCCGACCCACTGGCACCACTCAGTGGACTGGCTCCACCTTCCAAGACCCAAGACCACCCATCCGCTGTGCCGTCCATGTCACTGACGCGTTCAAGATTGTTCAACCTTCTTTTTGGTTGAGGCGATCTACAATACTGTTCCTGGTGCAGGCGAAACAAGCCCCCGCTACAAAGACCCCCATGCGAAAGGAGCCAGTGGGCTTGGACATGGGCAAGTTGCAAGGGGCAGCCAAAACTCCCAAAGTGATGGCATAATTGCGCCTTCAAGTGTGAAAGCAAAACAATAACAACTAACAAAAATTAGGCAAACAAACAAACACGTTCTGCTCCTCTCAGCATCCCTCAGCCCCGTCAGTTTTCCCATGGCCCCACCCAGCCATGATGCGTTTTTTTGCCTTTTGCGAAGAGGCACAGAAGCTCAACACCATGACAGCAATTTATGACGACCATGTTTGGTGCTCTAGGTAGTGAAGCATACCAGTTTGAAGCTTGATGGGGGCAACCGAAATTACACAAGTGCTTCAGGAACAGTGTGGGAAGAGAACCCAATGGTGCTCTGCGATATCTTTGTTCTTGTAATTCAGCTTCCTCTGGTTGTAATCCAACCCTACTTCTGTCAAACATCCTTTGTTAGGACTCCCACATACACACTCTAGATCTTCGATGAACTCTGGCATGTCTGACCTCAATGTAGGCGCACGCCGCCTCAGCATCTGCATCGCAGCTCTCCTGTGAATGAGGGGACCAAGTTGGAGCCTCTGGCTTTGACTCAGCTGAATGATCAGGAAGCTGGCTGTGGAGGAGAATACTTCAGCTACGAAAATGAAGTTTGGCTCCCTACAGCATTAAAACAAAAGAATCTAATCAAATGGTCGTTTGAGACAAGTCACACCCGTCCAACTAAATGATCTTTAGACCGTGAATGTCAAACTCAAAGCAAAGCTCCTAGACTCTAAACAGTCTAGATCCCGTGTGCACTAGTTCGTGTCACTCTGGCACCTCGGGTCTCGCTGTCGACCGTGCGCAAAACGCAAAACGCGCGCCTCGCAGGTATAGACGCAAATGGTCCCGAAGTCCAAGCGATCACGCAAAGGTCCTGGCGCGCGAGGACTGGCGGTCCGTCAGGTCAGCCGATCGTCCCGTTGAAGTCCATGGCAAAAAGGAGTGAGATTCAAGAATTCGACATCAAAGGAACATTTCTTAAGATCTGAAAAAAAAGAAGATAACAAGGAGCCAAAGAACCCTGCTGGAAAGCGGTGTGCCAGTACCAGTCTGATCCACTGGACGCCTCATTTCATGTGTGTTACGAGACTCAGTACAATGAGCTCCTTGACACAAAGGGATGGGGCCAATTGTCAAGAGTTGCCACTTAAATGTCTTAAGAATATGATAGAACATGGGGACGAAATGGTTGAACCTATGTCAGCCATGGTCAGCTGCTTACCCCAGAGCCTCTGTGTTCCTCTTCCAGAGCCACTCTAATCATCAAACCACATCAGTTGGAACCCCAAAAGCCGGTGATAAGTGGCTTATGTGGCTTGATGTGGCTTGCCAAGAAGCCACCACTCGGATGCTGCAAGGGGTGGGCCCCACATGCCAAGAATTGCAACCGACAAGGGGGCCAAACACCTTCTTCTTGTTAATCTCCTTTTTCATCCTTTTTTCTTCTGCTCTACTACAGGACCCTTTGCTCTACCACATTCTACCACTCTCTCCTCACAACCCAGCGAGACATTCGCCCCGGGCCTTGCATCTGGGCAATAAGCATAGGCTGGACCTGGCGGCATAGGCTGGACCCAGGAAATCCGGAAATCCCCAAAGGGCCTACAGAACTGCATCAAGTACAGCTAGGCTCATCAGCATCGAAGCAATGCATGCAAAGACAAGCAGTACATGGGGTCAAACAATCGAAGCAATGGTCTGGTTCAAGGACTTGGGGATGATGCGGAGGGATTCCAGCCTAGCTGAGGGCGACGAATGTGACTACTAGGCCAAACCAAGACCGAGCCAACAAACATGTTGATTGAAGACCCTTGAATGATAAAGTTGGCCTGCAAACATACGTAGCATGTAACCGTTAACATGTGAATAAAACAACTAAGAGACTTATATCTCAAGAAAACATTAATCACTTCCCCTTCCGATCAGGACTTGCCTGGCATTCAAAGATCCGTTTCCCACCGCAGTTGGAGCACGGAGTCGGCGCTTCGGTCAGCTGGCGGAACTGGCAGAACCTGGGCGGTCAAGTTGGAGTGAGTCTGTTGATGGATATGGTGCACCACCTGCGAGAACCCATGAGGTGATATCCAAAAAGACTCTGGTCTACCAATGATCCCTGATCCTTCTCCCACACAAAAGCAAACACAGCACATCTCCCAGCTGGGAGATGATCTGTGGCCAGCCAATGCGCATTGAGCTGCCGGAAGAAAGCTGAGACAAGACTGCAAAGCTTGGAATCCGAGGGTCAGTGACGCGAAACCATGGATTTCCAGCTGTGACTCTGACGTGTTGGAACCATGTCTCATGTCCAAGCCGTCAATGGCAAAAGAACAATAGTCTTGCTTGACATTCCTTGATAGTCCCCACAACCAAAACTTAGACCAATGGGTGTCGTCGTTGCTAGTCCAGCTTCATTTTGACCATTGAGGATACATCCCAAGTCATTCAGACCTGAGTTTCTCTTCCAAACCACTCACCATGCACAGCTCTAAATGCTTCAAGTACCCAGCTGGGGCTTCCTGCCAGCGAGCTTCACCACCGAGCTGGTAGCGGAGCACCTGGTCATCACTTTTCGGGCACCAGCTCTGCCAAAGCCCAGCTCGAAGCGACAAACCAGGACGTTTGCGGTCTCAGAATAGTCTTGCTTAGACCCTAATTTCATCGATCATGTTCCTCTAAGGATTGGCAAGGAAAAAATAGATTGTCAAGGTGAAGAGCCATGAGGCTGCCAGAAATCTGAGGGTTTCAGACAGACCTCAAGTTGAACCATGAAAGATCAGGAAAGTATAGATATATGTGTCAATAGACACCTACAAGTACTGCAGCTGTTATTGAATTGTTGGCCATGACCTTTTCACGTTTTGGAGCAGGCGGTGGGCATTGGCATGCCACCACTTTTTCCACTTGTGCCACTCAGTCCAATGTTTTTATGCACGTATAATCAACGCACGACACAGCTGGCCATTTGGTGTTTTTCACTCTGGCGCTCACATGTGACATCCCAGAGAGGAGCGTGGCTTTCTCCTTTAGCACTATTCGGCACTTCCATGACTCGATTCGGATTCCCAAGCAGCCACAACTGCTGCCACCAAGTCGGACCAAATACTGCCAGGGTTGCATGATTTTTGTTCAGCAGGTGGAAGCGCTGGAACCTGGCAAAGACCTGGTCCTGTTGGACGCCGCTTTGGGCTGCGCCCAGATGTGGGGACAGGCAACCAGGCACCCCCATGTTCTGGGTGTTAATCGTGTGGGGTTGGCTTCTTGGGGATTAGAAACTGTTATATAGCAAGAAAGAATTCACTTTGTAGCTCAGTAGCAACGGGCATTACCACTCTAATGTCATCCACAAACCACAGAAGTTGACAACTCAAACCTCAAGTTCGGTGGATCTTCACGTCCGATCCTCAATTGATGAAATCAACACTTTGGAAGCCACACTGGGCTAGACTGGAAAAAATGGGAGACCCTGAATACATATCTTTGCACCGTTCAAGTGCCTCAATCACCAGTGGTAGCCTCGTCTTCAACCAGGAGCCCCGTGCGTAGCGTCCGATCGCTCCTAGTAGCGATGCCTTTTGCTCCTAGTAGCGTCCTTGTTCCTAGTAGTAAGGCCAGGAGCCCCGTTCGTAGCGTCCTTACGCTCCTAGTAGCACTTTGTGATGCTGAGGACTCTGCGATGTCAAGTGATGAGGACCATCCGTCTGGACTCCGGCGATCCTTCTATGTTGAAACCAATCGCTGGTGGATTGGATGGAGAACACATGAGAACAGCCACATTTTGGGTGGATTCCTAAAGCAAGTTAATTTGACTGGAGGTTCATCGTGCCTTCACAGAACGCTCTTCAACCCATTCTTCCACAAAGTTTCCACCTGGGCCAAGACTGGCAAAAGCACTGCAGCAAGTCACTTGGGTTGAGTTTCCATTGGGCCGCTATATCTTGCATCGTCTTGCATTATCTTGCATCCACAAATCGTTCTAGGAGGGAAGGTGGTCTTCTTCTGAACCGTCTGCACTGATCCCGTACAGTAGATCTTCTTTATCTGGAGCCCCATCTCAGAGAAGCACCGAACTTGTCCAGAGCAGCTTCGGGGTCATTCTTCACCATCTCTTGGTACCTCAGATGTTGCGGGAAGCTGAGTGCAGTTGGTCTCCCCGTGCTCAAGATCGGGTGATTCTTGCTAGCAAGTTGTGATGTTACGGCATTCTTGCCCTTGAAAGCCACCAGGATGAGTCTTGTTCAGGATCCATGTACATGTTGGTCTGAGGGAGTACAAACACAAATAACTTAAACCGAACCCCTTTTCGGCACATATCCAGCATCCTGCTCCAAACCTCTTGTGAACAAGAGAGGAACACACTGAGATTGTTTTAGTTGCTTCGAGCCACCCTTTGCCATCCCATCTTGCCAACTCTATGGTTTCACACTCTGGGAACGAACAGCTTTGTGGACATGGGACGCATTCCTAGAAATCCTCAAGGCTTCTCTGCATTCTGTGGATCCCTGAGAATGCAACTCTTTTAACTTCTCGAGGGATTCTTTGTCCTGGCAAATATCAATGGATCACAAGGGCAGACCAATGGGTGAGCAGTCTTGGAGCAGAAGTTTCGGCAACATCTCAGTTACTTCTACAAACCTTGTGCCCCTCCCTCAGTGAAACAAATTGCCAATAGGACTTGCGCCGACATTTCATGAAAAATTTTTTCGCGCCGACGGCAGCTTCGGCCTTCTTGTCTCGGTCGGTGATCTGGATGCCTCTCAGATTCTCAGAGCAAAGGGGATGATATAGTAGTAACAGGTGCCACGCTAGTAGTAACAGGTGCCTTACTAGTA